TCAAGGCGAATTTAATATCTATTGAGGAGTGGGACTTGGCATGCAATATATCGTTAGTATAGTATGGAAAGGGCGTAACTCATACCGTCGCTGAACTAACTAAAAATCCAAAATTCACTATTTGATTGATTATGACGCATTTCATCGAATTATAAATCCCCACATCGTTTTTGCATTTCAGAGAAATGTGAAATACGCCCTTTCCATACTATACTAACGTTATATTGCATGCCAAGTCACACTCCTCCTGCCTCCAAATATCAAACCACATTGAGTGCATGGAATGGAACAACAAAACGGATTTTATGGCTTATGGCACCGACCGCGGTAAGTAATTAATTGTGACTGCCTGCAACTAGGAAAAGTTGAGCTCAGCTAATAAAAAAAAAACGAATTACAAGATATTCATTACGGGTGAATCTTTTCGAGCAGATGTGAGACCTTCATCGTCCGTGATTCCAATAATTCAAATTATTATAAATTCGGCTAGCAGCCACAACTTTCAAAAAAGAATTTTTTTCGAAATTTTCATTCCTAGAAAATAACAATTTATTTGCCATATCCACCTATTTAGAACCTCGCTATAAGCACACATTTTTCAAACCAGTCACAGAAGAAAGGATTAAAAATGAATTACAAAAACTCAAACCGAAAAACGCTGATGACGATACAGGTTCTACAAATTCTGAAGATTGTGAACATGAAAGTCAGGAGGATACATGCGACATTTACAGCCCCCATGCAATTCTCAAAAAGGAAATATTGAACCGCAATAAAAAGAAAAATAAATAAAACTGCAAGTCCTCCCAACTGGTGTCGCGTCAATCTAAAAGAATTTACAACTTTGTCAAGTTTTTCAAGTTTGTCGCCTCGAGCGAGTGGCGCAGGTTTGATTTACGACCCTTTAAAAAATAGGCTGTAACCCGAAAAGGCAGCAACATAGCTTTTTATTAAATACAATGTTCCAATTTTTAAATTCAAGTACTAAATAAAAAAAGAAACATTATCATTATCAGAAACATTAAATCACTTAATTTACTCACCTAAAATATTTCTTAAAAACATTTGACATCCGCATTCGCATCCGCATCCGCGGATGTTAGCTTTTAAACATCCGCATCCGCGGATGTCTAAAGTTCCACATTCGCAACATCCCTACTACACGCACATACTTTTTGTCTCCTTCTCTCACATTCACCGCATGCACGTGCTTGCAAAATGATGACAAAGTGATTTTGTATGGAAAATCATTTATGCCTAATGTGACCAACTATTTCATAGCTCACAGAAGTACAGCTTAGGATGGTTTAAGTTAACGCCGCGTGCCGATTACGAAATTTCGAATGCGGCTAATTTCGATCCCTGAGAGCTCAGTGTTTGTTCAGAAGTGCGACCCAAAATGCTTCCATCTTAGCCTCGCGAAGGTTGGACAGTCTAAAAGAAAAAGTCGAGATGATTCCACTTCATCTTCCTCTTGACAGCTGATACAAAAGGCTCAGTTGAAATTCCTAGTCTCATTCCTGGTGCCCTATAAAAACATTTTCTGCGGCAGAGAAACGTCTTATTTTCCTTTTCTATGTCACAAAAGGACCCGGTTTCCCTTAGCTTAATATCAGTTCGTGCTGCGACAATTCTGTCTGCAATATTCGCATGCGCCGTGTTCAACATATGTAGTATGTTAAGCGCCAGTGTAGGTGTGGTTTCTAATGTTCCGCTAATTCCTGTTACAAGTGTAGCCTTCTCTAGTGAGTTCTACCAGACAAGGGCTGCTTGAAAAAATATAGGCTTAAATCTGGTTTCCTAGAGCTAATGAATTAATTTGGGCGAAGGACCCAACCTTTCACCGATAGCTCCCCTGCCGCAGTTCAAGGCTACCGACACCTTTCCTGCCCTTTCCTCAATATTAGGCTACCTCGGAAGTCGCCGTTGATCGCCCACCGTAGAAATCGTCCCTTAAATCCAGAGCAGGGGAGAGGGAATACCACGTTGTGGCGTGCTTCTATTGACTCCGTACAGGTCTATCAGTTCTCTCTTGCGTTTTTAGCAAAAGCGTTTTTAGCAAAAACGAAGAGGGGAAATATGAGATCCTTTTTCGGCCTTCGGGATGAACGCAACACTGTCTACACTCCAAGCCTTTGGATGTACCCGGTCTTCACGCAGTTCGCATAAATAGGATCCAACCAATTACACGACTCCTTCAGAGCCCTTTGCAGCTGCGCACATATATGATGCCATCGGTTCCCGACGACTTTAATGGCTTGAACGAATTCATCGCCCAGGCCATGTGACGATCGTCCAGAAGAGAAGTACAGGACCTAGGGGGAGATTCTGTAACTAGTTAGCGACCATTTTAAAATCGCTATCGCACTTTTTGACGCAAAAACATTTATATCATGCGTCAAAAAGTGCGATAGCGATCCGAATCAGAATCTCCCTCCTGAAGTACAAAATATCGCAAAGAAGTACATTTGACTGTACTTCGAAGTACGAAGTACAAGAGCGAAAAAGAAGTACTGTACTTCCGAAAGAAGTACGGTTGGTCACATTATTAATGCCCATATATGTATTTGAATAAAATAAACATACTTAGAAGATATCAACCAATACATCTCATATACCAAACGAAAGAAAAAAACTTGATTTTTTTTATTAATGAAAACAAAAACAAAATCATGTGTTCGATAATATAGGTAATACAAAAAATTTGCTAATTTTTTCAACAATTTTTTGCCTTAAAATGCCCGATATTTATTGAATTTATATAAAATTTGTACACGATAATATTTATATTACTCCAAGGAACCTATAACCCGAAAACTAAAGTTATATCTGCGAATCATAAGTTGCTACATACATACATACATAGAGTAGATACTATAAGAAAAACAGATCCACATTAACTGCAATCAACATATGGTCGTATGTATGTATTTACATACATACGCTGCGATTAGGTTATAAATATTGTGCCATCTGTTACTCAAAATCCGAAATACCTACATACATACGCGCACATACTTTTTGTCTCCTTCTCTCATCTCCAGCGCAAGCACGTGTTTGCATGATGACGAAGTGATTTTGTATGGAAAATCAGTTATACCCATATATTTGAATAAAATAAACATGCTTAGAAGATATCAACCAACTTGAATTTTTGACTAAGGAAAACAAAAACAAAATCATTAGAGCGGTTTTCGAGAGTTGTGGAAATAAAAAAAAAATTTGCTAACTTTTTCAAAAAAATGTTGCCTTAAAATGCTTGATATTTGTTGAATTTATATAAATTTTGTACACGATAATATTTCTACTGCTCCAGAGAACCTATATCCCGAAAATGATAGTTTTGTCTGCAAATCATAAGTTGCTAGAGCACATTAAATGTTCAAAATTGACCCCGAAATAAGACAATATTTACCGTTGTTTCTACAGCAGACACTGAATTGATTACTTACAGAAATGTATCTGTCGATAGGTTTGGAATTTTGTCTTTAAAACGCCACACCTTTCTTTGAAATCGCTTCACTAGTTCTTGTGCAATAAGCGTTTTCGTGAAACTCTAAAAATTACAACAACAATTGAGCATAGCCTTCATATCGAAAGGTAAGACGTATTCTACGTCAAAATATGTAATTTTGTTTTTTTTTTCAATACCACACTCAAACGAAGCAACTGACAGGCTTTTAAGTATAAAGTTTGCTTCCTGGCGCAAAGAGAAAAACCGACTTTTAATTAAAATTTTTGAAAGTGAGCTTCAAATTAATAATAATTTTAAAATGAAATGTATAGAATCTTTGACTATTTAAACACTGAAAGTGGAAATGATCTCATTGTTGCTATTAAAAAATGTCAAATATAAAATAATTTATTGGCTCTTGTGTACAATGATATTATAAGGATATTTTTATACTACATCTTAATGTGTACACTCATGTTAAAATCAATACCATTTTTATTTTTTGTGAACTATATTTTATATGTATACCAAAATATTGTTAAATACATGTACTTTGGCAGTGTAAAGGATTTCCTGTTACTTACATTCATAATTTTGCTTTGAATAAAAGTGTACTGAAAAGTTCAGAGTTTTATAGCATAGAAAAATCTAAGGTATTGATTTCGTGCACAAAAAATCTGGCAACTCTATCAACGACTGATAAATTTATTCTGATTTCGTGCATTCCATTAAAGGTCCGGACATTCCAGGTCATCAAAAGAAGGGGCATCGCTGTCATAGGAAATGGTTTTACGTGCCGGGTCCCAAATCCAGCTCACCAGGTTTTGCTAGAATTTTGTGGTCCTTCAACCGGGTGCACGTTTATATAGCGAGCCACTGGCTTTAACACAGTCACCTGCTTGCAGCCGCACCTACTGGTGAACTTACGCTGCAGACTTCTGTGAGCCCTTAAACCGAATTAGTCTGAGCGGCCCCACCGAAGCTACCTCTCTTTCTGCCGTGACCCAAGGCTCCACTCGAGTTGGTTACCGCATCTCGCACATAGGTTTCTCACATTGCCCAGACTGTGAACGAGGACGCAAGAGTCGGTATTGAGCCGTGCAACTTAACTGTAACTGTATTTCCTCCAAGTGAATTTTACATCAATCTCTTAACAGGAAATAAGATTATTATAGATTTATGGAAAATGGGCGTGGCATCGCTCAGTTATGACAATATAACTGTGTATCGAAAAGCTCTTATCGATTTATACATACCCAAATTGGTCCAATTATTTCATTAAGTCTAATTAACCATATTATCGAAACTTTCTGGAGAAACTTCCCTGCCTATCATTTAGTTTACAGAAAGGGGAAATATTTACAATGTTTTACAGTGCACGTAGCGGATTCGCCATAACTCACTTTTTTACTTGTAAAATAAACATTTCTAAAATAAATACCTTTACGATTTTTATGGGTTTTTAGGTCCTTAAAATCGTTCCCTGCACATAACAAATATCCCGTTCTAAATATTTAAAACATTAAAACGATGATTTTTGCTTCAGAATGTTGGACGGGTGCTACGTTACACGCGATTGGCAGATAATTTGGAATTAAAACAAGTCACTGTTCCTATTGGAGTCCTCTTAGTAATATTCGAATCTCGTCCTGATTCGTTGCCTCAGGTAGCTGCTTTGGCAATGGCGTCAGCCAACGGCCTTCTACTTAAGGGGGGCAAAGAGGCTTCTCACAGCAATAAAGCTCTGATGGAGTTGGTCAAGGAGGCACTTTCTACGGTTGGAGCAGAGAATGCAGTTTCCCTGGTGAGTAGAATTTAGTTTTATCACAAATTATGAATCCAAAGTAAGGGCGTCTAGAAAGTTGTTAAAACTTTATTAAATTTAAAATACCGAATAGTGAATTAGGATGTTGATAAATTTTAAGGTATGTATAATATATGGTTTAATTTGAAAACAATTACTAAGTTATTTAAAGCCAACATATGTAAATATAGCTACCACTAGTAATATAAATAGCTATGAAATCACATAAAAGACTGGTCCCTTTCACTTTATTATTTTAGGTTTCAACTCGTGAAGAAATTAGTGACCTTTTATCAATGGAAGATCATATTGATTTAATAATTCCGCGTGGATCGTCAGAACTTGTTCGTACTATACAGGAGCAATCTGTACACATACCAGTGCTGGGACACGCCGAAGGTGTCTGCCATGTTTTCATTGATAAAGACGCCGATCTGCGTAAAGCGCTTAAGATAGTTAGAGACGCCAAATGTGACTACCCAGCAGGTTAGTTAGATGATTCATTAAATAAACAGACACAAATCCGATAAATAGTCAACCAATATAACCGCCACTAGGGATGAAACGATACCTTGCAGGTATTCCGTATGAACTAAATAAGTAAAATTAAATTTTTTTTGGTTTAAGTTAACGATTGTCTGGTTTGACCGACCACAGAATGCTGTTGTCTAGGAATTTAAAAAAATTTCCAAATAACCACACTCTGTAACTGTCAAAATGCACAAACCTGTACAAATGCATAAACCGTGTGATCCCTGCTACTACTAGAAATAAAAACAAATTTGTGTTTTTAAGCAAAGAAATATAAATGTCTTTATTTTATATTAGTTTAAAAAGCTAATAACAAACCGAATAAACTAAAAACTATGGAATTGAAATTCACTCATATTGCAGTCGCCGTCATTTTAACAAAAAATAAAAAATAAGAGATTATCTTTACACTTATGTACATATAGTATTTATACATATGTATACACATATGCGTAGTAAGATTAGTATGCCACAACATATGTATGTATATATACTTATGTAGTTATATATACCAGTCGGACGGATTTCGTAAAAAAAATGATGTCATGTCTCCGATTCGCTTAAAATTTTTTTATGGATTTTATACATGTAGGACGACATCTATCTCTCAATCTGCCAATACAGTTGAAGACAACGACGCAACACCTACAAGACCTTAACAGAAACACAATACGATTAGTCTTAACATACCCATCAACAGACGCTAGGAAACGAACGGACCATACGAAGGTTATCAATTTCGTCAATCAATTGTAAGCCGCCACCAAGCGCACGTCGTATTTACCGGCCTATTCTGCGTTGGTAACAAAAATTTTGTTACCGGTAAATAAAGTTCCTGGTAATTTTTAAACCCTTTTCGCATTCTGCACACTGGTAAATTTTGCTACCATCTCATAACCAGTTAACAAAATATTGCTCGGTGAAGTATGCAACACCAGAACTTATACAAAACTTCATACCTGAATTGCGGTTTCAAGAAGTGGTGTTATTTTTTGGTAACAAAATTTTCCGGCGTCAAAATGTTCGGTAACAAGCAGAATAGGCCTGTTAGTGTAACGATAATAGATCAGAAACTATTGTTCAATTGGTGTTAAAAAAAGACATAACCAAAACTACTAAGTTTCGCCTATTTAATCCTACATACATGGGGTGTTCCATACCAAAATGGACGGGGTTCACACTTCATTTGTCTGATTTGTCTCAAATTTTTAGGGTTGATGGATAAACATAGATTATAAATAAATATGAAATTTGAGCTTGATTAATATATTTTTTAAAAATTGTACAGCACAAAAACAAAAACAAATCGATTTAATAGTTTTCCAAATATCTCGTGAACGTGGCGAGGAAAAGATTTGAAAAAAAAAATCGCGCATACACATATAAAAATTATCTATGAAAATAAATATTTTTTAAATTTTTTTTCTTGAAAAATGTTTCACATACAAATTTTTTTATAAAAAAATTAGTTTTTGAAAATATGACATCTCAAAACAATCACAGTGAGTATTGCGCAAATTTTAAGTATAGTATTGTAGAGTGCACCCTACAATAATTTGAGTTATGAATTTTTTTTTACACCGAAGTTGAGTAAAATGAGTAGGTACATTAGGAAATGCAAATTTTTAAAATTTTTTTTAGAATTCTTTTGAGTATGCAGTTTTATAGCCCATTAAATTTTAGTATAATAAGTGCAAGTTTTAAGCGATTGCAAAACTGGCGTTAATTTTTTTTTTAATTTTATTTGAAAACGGTTTTACGCATTTTCTTTCATAAGAACAAAGTGCAAAAGCCGTCAACATAAAAAAATATTAAAAATCTACACAATTTTGTAGTAGCTTAAAGCTTGCCCATTATCATTAAAAAACCTAACGGGCTACAAAACTGCATACTCAAAAAAATTCTAAAAAAAATTCAAAAAAAATCTAAATTTCGAGATGGCATATTTTCAAAAACTAATTTTTTCTAACAAAAAATTTTTCAAGAAAATAAAATTTAAAAAATGTTTATTTTCATAGATAATCTTGATGTGTGTATGTGGTTTTTTTCAAATTTTTTCCTCGCCCCGTTCTCGAGATATTTGGAAAACTATTAAATCGATTTGTTTTTGTTTTTGTGCTGTACAATTTTTAAAATATATTAATTAAGCTCAAATTTCATATTTATTTATAATTTATGTTTATCCATCAACCCTAAAAATTTGAGACAAATCAAACACATGAAGTGTGAACCCCGTCAATTTTGGTATGGAACGCCCCACATACATAAATTAAATAAGCTAACACGTATTCGAGAATTGTTATACCCGAGCGCACTTGTGCACAAGGGTATTATAAATTTGTTCACATAACGGTTGTTTGTAACACCCAAACAGAATCGAGATAGATATAGACAAATGTATACATAAATGAGCAGAATGAAAACTTGAGATATCTCAACAAAATTTGGTACGTAGCTATTGAAAAAGGGCGAAATCGGACCGTAACCACACCGACTTCCCCGTTATATGGGGGTCTTTAGAAATACGAAAACTGCGATATTGAAGCTTATTCACTGAAACTTGATATTTACAATGATTTTTGGACGTAAAATAAGAATATTATAAGTTTTTGGAAAATTGGCGTAGCCACGCCCACTTATGATGATACATGTGTTTATCTTGGTAACCGCCTTGGTACAACATACCAAATGGCTGAAATTTTTTGAAATCGGACAATAACCACGCCCACATCCCATATAACGGTAATTTAGAGAAATACGAAATCTTCGATAAATCAGTAAATACAGAAGCTAATTTATTCAAAAGTGATGTTTGCAATAATTCTTTAGCAAAAACTACGTTTATGTTAAAATTTTGGAAAATGGGCATGCCACCGCCCATTTATGACCAGGTATGTATGTATATCTCGGTAACCGTTCGATCAATTTGTACCAAACTTGATACGATTATTTCGCTTACAACACAAAAGCAAAACGTTAAAAATTACTCCCGCTTTTCATATAACGGTAAATTTCAGAAATTCTTGAAACATGGATATCTGGAAATTTTGAGGACGCTAATTTACTCAGAATGGATACTAATAACAATTCCTTGAAAAAACGTAACATTATTATAGAATTTTGGAAAGTGGGCGTGATACCGCCCACATCTAACTATACAAGTTTATCTCATTAAGTATAACCGGACATACTATCGAAATTGTTAGAAATAGGGGTAAAACCATGTAACGGTAGTTTTCAGAAGGTGAAAAACTATATTTAATACTTGCGCCGTGTGTTTATTGTTCGGCTCCACCCGAACTTAGATCTTTTACTTGTTTTTCTTTTTTTTCTTCGGAGATATAATCTCTCAGAGTTCGATTTTTTTTGTGACTCTGACCATTCATGTACTTCTTCAAATCGTTATATCTAGGGCTCTACTCATTGTGGAGACTTCATCTTAACGTCTTTTTGAAGATAAAGAAACGGGCTTTCTTGGTTATGATTGTCCTTAAGCAGTGTTGGGCGTAATTCAATTAATATTTCACTTACCTCGTTAATTGATTAAACAAGTAATTGCAATTAAATTTTTAATTGCACATTACTATTAAATTAATTGCAATTAAACTTATCATTGTGCATTGCAATTAAATTAATTGCAATTAAATTATTTGCCATTCAAATTTTAATGGCAATTAAATTTGTAATTGCACACTGCAATTAATTTAATTGCAATTACTTTTTTTAATTGTTCTATGAAACAATTAAAGACAACAATTAACCTAATAAATAAAAAATACGGAAATAAAGATTACAAGGTTCAGAAAATTCTACATAAAGTATTTTTTATATAAAAGAAAGGTGTAGTTATATAAGAAAGAAATGGACAAAAGAAAGAATACCACCGAGTGCTGGGGTTTGCCTTCTCACACTAGCATGTATTAACTCCTCACCTTACACTCACCTCAACTTACTTTACCAAAACTCACTTCACCTCACCTTCAATCAACTCATCACACCTCACCTAAACTCACCACATCTCAATTTGGGAAGTATTTCGGGATTTTATAGATTCTCCGGACTAAATCAGGATTTTCAAGACTATTTCGGGATTTTCGAAACTATTTCGCAATTCTCGAAACTATTTCGTAATTCTCGGGACTTTTAAGGATTCTCGATACAACTTCGGGATTCTCGGGATTTTTGAGACTTTCGTGACTATCTCGGGATTTATTGGAACTTTCGACACTATTTCGAGGTTTTCTAGACTACTTCGGAGTTTTCGAGATTCCCCTGACTAATATCGGGATTTTTATGTCTTTAGAGTATATATCGGGATTTTCGACACTACTTCGGAGTTGTCAGGATTCTCGTGACTAATATCGGAATTTTTGCGACTTTTGAGGATATTTTAAGACTTTCGGGACTATTTCGGGATTTATTGGGACTTTCGGCACTATTTCGAGGTCTTCTAGACTACTTCGGCCTTTTCCAGACTATCAGGATCTCCGGGACTAATAACAGGACTTTCGAGACTAATATAGGGATTTTTGGGTCTTTAGGGACTACTTCGGAGTTTTCGGGACTTTAGAGACAATTTCGGGATTTTCGAGACTACTTAGGGATTATCGGGACCTATACAAAGATTTTTGAGACTTTCGGGGCATAAATCCCGATATTAGTCCCTAGAATCCCAAACACGCCGAAGTAGTCTCGAAAATTCCGAAATAGTTCCTAAAGTCCAAAAGTTCCGATATTAGTCCCGATAATTCCGAAATAGTCACGGGGATCCCGAAAGTCCCGAAAAAGTCCAAAGTAGTCTTAAAAATACCGAAATAATCCTTAAAGACCCAAGAATCCCGATATGAGTCCCGAGAACTCGAAAAGTCCCAAAAACCCCGAAGTGGTTTTGAAAATCCCGGAATAATCCCGATATTAGTCTAGACAATCCCGAAGTAGTCTCCAAAATCCGGGAA